TATTTTTGGTCTACTTCAGGTGCCACTGATTTTCTGCTGTTTGAAACCTATGAATTCTGTAATGTGGGTAAATGTAGGGAATAACAATCTGATAGCTGTTACACTGATGTTTCCACATTTTTATTAGTATCTAAAACAATAGATTGTGTTTGCATATAACTGCATATTTTGCTATGTGTTCAATATTATTTATTTCTTTAGCAAAATTGAAAGCATCCATATAGAAAATGTGTGTTTAGTAAGCACTTCAGAAATCTGGATACAATGAGGAAACAAATATGTCAGCAAATCCATTGACTATGAAAAGTTACAAAGAAAGCCAGCAACACAGCAGGAAATCAAAGCCTTTGATTCCTGGACCTGTTACCATGTACTAAATCTAAAATCATGCTGAGTCACTGGAGGAAGTCTGCAGTGCCAGTTGTCTGAAGACAATTTTTGCAAATACTTTGTAAATAATATTTGACTTTTTAGATGAGACCTTTCTCTTCCTTGGTGGTCAAGCAATTTTCATTTCTTACTATTCCTTTTAAATTTGGTGTCTTAGAAATAACACACTTTATTTCAACTTTTATTAAGAAAATCAGAATTGCTTTCTGGGCCTAGACTTAGTGTTAATGAAGACATGGTACCAGAAACTTTAGCATGTTCTCAAATAAGTTTTATGAGTAGCTGAGAAACAATCTCTGCAATTAGGCAAGTTTCCTTTTATAACTGTGATCTGTACTTGGCATATTCCTCAAAGAATAAATAAAAATATCTTTCTCAAGACAGTTGGCTGTTTCTAAATTCTACAGTTTAGTTCTATTATTCTAATAGAATTGAGAAACCGTTTTGAATCATACCTCAGTCACATCTCGCTAGCAAGGTGTTCATAAACTCACTGTGGCACAGAAGAAAACATTTCCAGTTTTTCAGGTCATTTTTATTTGACCTGTAGTTACTATAGAGATTAAATATATCCAGTCCAGCAGCTCTCAAAAATATTAAACTACCACAATATAAGGGGTATGACCCTTCCATGAAGCTCTAGAGGGAGTAAGGTTGGTTCTGCAATGGTCAAAATATTTTTAAGTGGTCTAGAGTTTAAAGTAAAAGGTTAAATGTGGAAGTCTAAGGGTTATTCAGAAGAATACAATTAATAGTAAAGAATTACAAAAAGCCCTAACAAGAGCAAACAACTGGGAAAAATTGTTCTATGGTATTCACTGTGGACAGTTGTAAAGTAAAATTGATCTTAATTGACATGCTAAACAATGTGAGCTAATAATTGTGACTCAGGAAATGCTGCTTGTTATTGTAAGATGTTCTTCTATAAAAATATATTCCTCAGTTGTCAATACAGTCTTGCCAATATAGTCCAAGAAGGGGTCTTAACAATTATTAGGAATAAAATGGAAAATCAGAAGAAATGAGAAGGCTGCTGTGTAAATCCATGGTGTCTTGGCTAGCGTTGATACTTCTCACCTTTTCAACTCAAAAAGGCCATAGTGAAACTTTGGAAGGTGGAAAAGGGGATGAGCAAAGATATGTGACCATTTCCTTATACAACTGAACAAATTAGACTATGATGTCCAGATTGAAAATAGACATCAGATTGAAAATAAATCTTTAGAATCATGATTCAGAAAAAAAGATGTCTATGTGTTACCCCTCCTCAACCAAAAAACTTGGCAAAGGAATTGGGAGAGAAGTGTCATAAAAATAAATGAGCAAAGGACAAAGCCAACGTCTGGAATCACCTTCCCACAGTGTATAGTTTATCTGTTGATAAACTATTCAGCTGTTGGGACAGTTGAAATCACACAGGTTCAGCAAGGAGCTGGATAAGTTTGTGGAAGGACAGTCCATTGGCTGTAATTAATTAAGGTGCTGTCTAGCATTTAAGAAACTTTGGGTCACAGAGAATGCAGTTTTATGTTTGCTCTGCTATTTGAAAGAGGCAGCTGCTAAGCCAATTGCCAGGGCAGATGCTGGTCTGGGAAGACCCTTGGCCACTCTCAGTGTTGGTGTTTGCTGCACAGCTCACTATTTGGTGAAGCTCTAGTATTTCCCTGATTCTTTCCTTGCTTTCAGTGATTGCCTTGCTTATCTACTGGAGATGGTTTCTTTTACTCAGCATGGCTTACTTTGTCTGGTAGTGCTGTAATTCATATCTTGCTATCTTATTGCATTTTACACAGCTCAGAAAGGGCAAGTAGACCTCAGAGAATCATATCTTTATATTTACTATATGTCACAGCCACAAGCATGCTAAAGATAATACACTTGTACATTATCTACTTCTTAACTAATATTTTATTAAATTATTTAGAGAGAATTTCACTGGAAAAATAACCTCCACCCACTCTTCAGATCCGATCCATTTTTATGGAATCCTGCACACTGGTTTTGTCCAGGATGTAGTCACTGTAATTGTGCCCTTTTGATGTGCAGATTACATTGATAACTGTAATGGAAGACAATGAAAAGTGTACTTCATTACCTTGAAATTATCTGAAGCACCTGGGTAATTTTCATTACACTCACATAAAGCTCTGTGTAAACAGACAATTTTATTTTATTTTTACAATTTGCTTTTTCATTTAAGGTCTTACTGAGCTCTTGGCTGTGCAAAAGAAGATAAAAGATTGTTGAAGGAAGGAAAGTCAGTTTATATTAAGAAAATCCTCAGCAAAACAATATGCCATCAAAAAAAATTCCTTGAAGCAGACTAAACTCAAGTTCAGTTGCCTAAAAGTGTTGTTATCAACATGATTTTGTACTCCCTGTGCATTACTTGTCTTCTTTCCACAGGACAAGTTACATAGCAGAAAGAAAATCCCATTTGAGTCCTGTTGATGTGGCACTTTTGAAGGCAGTGAGATCTCTCTTGCACCAAAGTGTTCAGAAGTATTTGCTGACATGAATAAGTGGATAGCATTTGCTGCATTTCTGTTTTCCTCCTTCCAGCAGACTGTAAATGCAAAATGCATTTTTGTACCAGCTAGTGTGATTGCATTATTAGCACAGTTTGGTCAGAATTTGCAGGAAAGTTTCAAGGGTTTAAAAGTAGCATATAGTTTTAGGTAATTTTTTATTCCTTAAAAACCACAATTAAAAATAATTAGCACACCATTTTGTGTGACCATAGTCTCATTTTTATATTCATACATGCAAACTGGGTTTTAATGTAACAGAAAAGAAAAAAAAACTTTAAATGTCGTGTTTCAGCAGAAGCTGATTTTGCATTTTCTAGGGCTTAATACAACAGTTCTTGTGCAATCAATGACTGCAGCAATATTGCCCCATTGTGAGAAATATTGAGGGTTATACAATACTCTGTGACTATTTTTATCCAGAGATCAATGTTGAGGTGATTAAAATAAATGTTTGTTTAATCGAAACAGAATTTCAGTTATTACATAGTAAACTACTCTTTGCATTTAGAGTAAGACAGGCCAAATTCAGTCTCAGAAAAACTGCATGAAGGAGTCTCAGAGTCATCATTTATTCTTTGTTCTGTTCTGTTTTGTTCTGATCCAGACATCACAGAGGTTTGGTGGGGTTTTTTTGGATTGGTTTTGTGGGATTTTTTTGGTTTTGTTTTGTTTTGTATCTATAAAAGGACACAGAAGTTATGCTGGCTCTGGGAGATCTTTTCCACAGGTGGTCACTGTTGGCACAACCTCAAGGTTTCTCAACAGTGTTGCAAAATTCAGCTCCATCAAAGGAGTTCTCACTGATCTGGGGGCCGAGCATGGCTGGGGATGGATATCTTGGTGAGAGGTCTGGAATCAGTGGAGACAGCTCTTCCCCTCTGGCTCCACACACTTTCTCTGCTATCACTGAACCTGCTAGGAGAGGAGGCAGCCCTTGCTTAGAGTGGGTGCTGTGCCCCATTTGGCCTCTTAACATTCCCCATTTAAAACAAACCTGGTGAGGGATACAACCTATATATGAGTCAAACAGGATGCATGATTAATCTCACATCTCCTCACTTTGGTGGGGGAAATACTGCTTCTTTCTCAAAAGCCACATTTGATCATCTCTACTGGCTTCCTGTAATTCAGCCTCGTCCACCTGGTGGGTTGCACTCACCAGGTTGCCAATTTTTCTGACTCAGTAAAACACACCCACCATTAATTCAGGCCAAATCCACCAAGATTTTGGAAGATTTGGAATTGAGCTCTTGAGTACCTCACAGGACTTAATACTCATAAAGACAATTCTGATCTGTTGTGGCAGCCAATTATATAAAACAATATATGTGGTTTAAAACATTTTCACCAGAGATAAGGAAATCAAAGCCACAGTATGAGCTCATTCTTCCATGTAGTGTATTAACCTATTGAAATACTCAGAGTACTCCTTCACAAAAGTGAATTAATGATTAAATGGAAGATGTCTGATGCTTTATCACTATTTATGTTTGTCCTTTTGTAAGAAGAGTGACATTGGTTTATTTTAAGAAAAAAAAAAGTAGAAGTAGCATAACGTTGTTAGGAACTTTAAAATAAAAAACAAGGCCTCTGGGCAATACAATCCTGCTTCCAAAATAATAATTCCTTCCACAGCACATTTCCAGGACATGTGTTTATTTTTAATGTAGATAATGATACATCCTTCAAAGTGTACAGATATTCTGCTTAACTTTCAATTATTACAACTTGAATATTAATTACTTTCATACAAATAGCTAAATATATTGACAAAGAAAAATGAAGCCCTAAAAAGAAATTACTGAACATCTGCTATTGTGAATGAGTTTTTCATCTGTGACTATACTCAGATTGTGTCAATACAAACTTTCAGGCACAGCATATTCCCTTGAGATGGTTCCTTTTTATCGGCACACTAATTGCATTCATAATGAAATATATGGATTCTTTTAATTTTGATTGTCTAATTCTCCATACTGTTCATAAACAAAAGGTGAAGAATGACCACATCTGATGTTTATGCCAACAATCGTTTTGATTGATACCGTATGTTGGGATTTTACACATCTTTTTCCTTTCATATGTGTTCTTAACATTCTGATATAAGCTAAACAAAAGGGAAAGCTTATCTCACTCTTGAAAGTATAAATAACTATGAGTTCCAACCTACTAAAACATGAGCAACAAGAAGATAGCACATCCCAATGGTACAGGACACGATCATCATGGGGAAACCTAACCTGGAACAACAAAAAAATAAAGCAAAGATTAATACGGATACTATAGTTTGTTCTCCAACCTATTTACAAAAAGGATAGTTTGAATTATCCGACACATTCTGAGTGAAAAATATGTTTATAGCAATACCAAAAGCAGAGATGTTCTGAGCATATAACAGTATCATACTCAAGCTCACCTTTCTACTTTGAACCTTAGAGATACAAGGTCAAAATTCACATCGTTTCATTGGTTTCAGAACATCTGTTCCAATTTACATTGTCTCAGAATCTTGCATGCTTTGCTCTTTTGGCCTTTTTCAGGTTTTTTCCCGTGCAAACAACATGCAATTATACAGGTAAAATAACAATTCTTACAAATTAGGCAGCATTAGAAATTACTTTCAAGCGTGCATCCCTTCAGATTAGGTGTGTGATCCTGGTATGGAACTTTGTAACACAATATTGGATCAAACCCATTAAATTGTTTCCCTGTTGATCTGAGTCACATACAGCTAGCACTCCTCTTTCATACCTCTCACCATGTCTAACAGACTTGAGTATTAACAGACTGTTGGAAATAAACCCCAGGCACTTGTAAAATTACTAAAACCTTGCTGCTCTACCCAAAAAACTAATTTTTTTTCACCACAGGAAAAGATTTTCTGACAACACCCAGATTTGATACGTCTATTTAGACTGACAAATACAGAGAGCAGAGACAGACAAGTGAAAAGGATGTTGTGGAGTTGGCCAAGTCCTGATGGCTAAATCTGCAGGTCTTTAAGATATGTGAAAAAGAACTTTTCTGAAACTCAAAAGCATTTTTGTATGATACCAGGAGTCTGTGAAAAAACACTGCTGTGATCACACTAATTTATTTCATGTTACTAAAATCACAAGGAGAACAGAGATATGATCATGCCACAAATGATACCCTTATACACTTTCTTTTACCAGATTCAGACAAGAGTTTTCATAAAACTCAGAAAAGCACAGCAATGTTGTCTGAAGTTCAGCATTTTATTAATTCTTTTTCTTGAACTAAGACTAATTTACACATGTGGGTATATTAATTCTGCCCTTTTACCTTGCTTTGCCCTTAGGAAGTTACTCGAGCCTTTTCCCCTCTGCCATTACTGATAAGAGTACTAAGAGATGACCATTTTGTAGGGGACAGGAGGACATTGTTCTCTGAGCTTGGTTGAATGAGCAACTCCTTCCCTTAGCAAGCTACAGATAGAAGAGATATCTTGGGGCATTAAATGTGGCCCCCACTTCTTCAGGCTAGGAAGGCCTTGCATAAAATGAAAACTAAACTTCTCAATTGCTCATTACCATCTGCTTCTACCTGCAGCTTCAACATTACCCTGAACTCATGAGATCCTCATGAGATGTTTCTTCCATAGCTGTTTCTCTGGAAAGCTGACTGGCAGAGGCATAGATGTGACCAGCAGATCAGAAGTGCCTTTAACAGTCATTGGTTTGAGTTTCTGAGAAAGGAATTCTACCAGCAGTGAAGGTCACTGCAAACACAAAAATAATCAGCTCTAGCATATAAAGTTTGTAGAATAGCTGGGAAATTAATGAACACAAGCACTCTAAAAAATATGTTGGAATTATTTAGGAAAGAGCAAGTTTGTCCATAATGGCAGCTTCATGGTCACTCATCCCAGTATGGAAGTGTGCTCATCTCACACACCTACAGAAATAGATGCAATCCAAGAGATGAAAAGGAAATCCCTGCAAGACAGAAAATGTCCAAAGAGAAGACTGTCAGACTGACAGATGATCTCATTTCTGTGTCCTTGACACCCCTCTGAAGAAGTTGGCCTGGCTCCTTGTGTACAAGAAGTGTCCCTGTGTCCATCACCCAATATTGCCTGCAAGATCTGCCTCAGAAGGACAGTTACCACCATGCCTGGCTCCAGAGGCTTTCTTCTTCATCCCTCTAGGGGTTTGGACCTGGTGAGCTGGCCTTTTCTGCCATTTTGGCATCGGGCATCATTATTGCTCTTCTGGCTCTGAAAGCATTGATGTTAAGTTGCCATTTGGACTTGGGGAAAAAAATGAGATTAGAGAGAAGGGCCAGCTGAATCCAAGAGGTAAATTGAGAAAGGTACAAAAGATTGCTAGAAAGGGTTAGAGCATTGCCACAGCTTTCAAATATTTCCTGAAAAGTCTGAAATGCATTTGAAGGATTTTTTGGGAAGTGGAAGGGGTTTCTTTCTTATGAACATGCATAAATATACTGCTGAGAATTGTTATTTGTTTTCCAATCCAACTGGTCAGATCCTTGCTTTTGAATGACTTGTTTCTTGAAAGGGCTGAATCACTCTTCAATCACTAAACTACGATCAAGCTGATTATATTGTAAAACAAAAGAGCTAATGCTTCTCCTGGAGATATTTTAGGAAAAAGAACCCCAAAAAATTAATTAATTAATTAATTTCCTGGCTAGCCAGCTGTTTTGCAGACCCTTCCCATTCTTCTGTCAGCCAATCTGATCTGTGGCATTGCCTAATCTCACTTAGACAAAAGTGTCCTGATGGGACAAAAAAAAGCAACCCCAGCAATGGCTATAGGAATAAAATAGGTTAGCTAAAACTCCCTACTACATCCTTTGGTATATTTAATGAATGCCCCCTGTGGCTCTATCTCCATGACAGGCTAGTGAGCTGGAGATTGCTGCAGCACTGTTAAGAGCAGCAGCTGCTGTTTGACAGAAAACATAGATCTCCTGACCTCACACTTGGCAAGCAATGAGCTGGCACTGGGAGGTATGGAAACAGAGCAGATCTTAGTCTGTATTAATGCCACCTAACAAACCTCCCTGGAGAATGCACAGTAGCTCAGCAATGAATGGCAATATGATGCCTTTGTGAAGACTGGCAAGGGGAAGAAAGGATCCAAAAAAATTCAAGGGCTACTTGACCACTGAAAACAGAACAAAAAGGTTTGTTCAAACTTGGAGGAGGCACATGCAAGAAAATGGATTAATTATACAGGGCCACAAGCAGGAATTGGGATGACACCACCACTGTCACAGTGCCAGTCAAATGTGTAGCTGGAGGCAGAAGCAGCCGGCCTGGGGAGGAACCTCATTGCACATAGTGTGGATGCTTGCATAGGGCACAATTACAAAGCTGTTATTCTCATTGCATGGGCAATTATCCCACAACTTAAGGTCTGAATTTCAGGCTCACTGGCCTGAACACTAATGTAATTGGATCAAATTCAATGTGGAATTTGTGTACCAGAGCGAGAAGAGAAAAAAGCAGTAAGTATTAGTTACTGCAGAGTTAATAGAGTCCTTGAGTATCATGGGATCATGCTATTTACACTACCCATTGCTCTTCCCCAAGGAACAAAAAGTTCCTATCCCAGGCCACATATGACACAATGTATGGTTACAAATGTTTTCTTTAGTATATTAGGTCCAAAAATGCACATTAAACAATGTAAAAATTACTTTCAGCCACTCTCATTTCCAGCATACCCCTTGGAATCAAAAAGGACCATGACATTCTTTTGCTCCTCTCCAGGGAAAAGGATCAGTGGAGTTTAGAAGTTTTCAAAACCTTTTGTGTTCTAAAGCTTCAGACTCATAAGAAACACTAATGATCATATTTGCATAAAAATACATTTTTGCATCCTGCACTGCACTTTCCTTGTCTCTGTTATATCCCTCTGCAGACAGGGATATACACAGAAGCCTGCATGGTTCAAAAAGTGCATCTTGGTGCTCTGCAGCCAGCTGAGGGAGGGTTTACCACTGCAGAGAGGAAGCAAGGTCAGACACAAGAAAGGGAAGTGCCACAGTGCCGGATTATTCCGACCAGCTCCCGGCACCGACAGCACAGGCGGGCTGCCCCCAGAAAGCTGCCTGATCCGGGGTGCAGCTCCAGGGCACGGCAGCTCTACGGCTTAGGTGGAGTGCAGACTGTGCCAAGGGTAGGGACAAGGATCAGGGTGACCCCCTCTGTATGGCTTCCAAAGAAGGTTATTCCTGGAGGTTCAGTGACAGAAAGGGCAAACTCAACTGCATACATCAGATTATAAGGGGAAGGAGGTCTCAGGGAAGGATACAATCTTAGAGCAACTGGGAGAAATTGGGGGCAGAACACAAGGCAGGGAATGCAATGTTTAAACCGATAAGAGACTGCAGGGGAGGAGAATACTTTAAACAAACCAGTGGGGTTTCGAAGGGCACAAGATTGATAGGGAAGTTTCTAGAGAAAGAGGCAGGCTTGGGGAGGGATTGACGCTCAATAGGAGGAGGAAGAGGGAACGGAGGGGCAGATCTTTGGAGAGATGGACAGCCAGGGCAAACCCAATAACACGGGGGAAAGGAACAATCCATCAAGAATAAAATATGCTATAACAGTACAAAATAAGAAAGATTGCAAAACTGACTGCTAGAAATGCATTACAATTAAAAAACACAATGCTACAGGGAAGGATGGCAGGATTCAGCAGTCACCCCCTTTTTCCTCTCCTCCTCTTCATATTAGAGGCTTACATGGAAAATTCCCATCTAAATGAAATTGCCCAGCCTAAATATACATGAAAAACAGATGTTAGCTCAGTGTGAGGTAGTGAGAATGTTTCAAGTGAGAGCCCCAGGGACCTGTCTTGGACAAAGTTTTACTTATTAATAACTTCAGCAATCCAATAACGAAAAGCTTGCAAATTGTCCCAGTGTGGGAGAGATGTCAGACTCTGTGGAGAAAAGAATTCAGCATACTCTTTCTTAGCAAATCAAAATGAGAATTTGAAATGAACAAAATGAAAGTCTGTGGAGGTAAGTGTGAAATATGTATTAGAAGTCAACTGTGGGCATAAAACTAGCAAGAGAAGTTAACCTTTTTGCTGAAAATGACCTAGATATTTCTAATTCTGTCTCACTGCAAGATTTCTGGCCCTGTATTTACTTGGAAAAAAGAAAACCACTGTATGATTATTCTAGGAATAAAATCCATTTTTAATAAGTTTATATGGAAGTGAATATTACAGTTTTCTTA